TGTTTTGCTTTTGCTTGAACAATGCATGCAGTGCTGGTGCTAGTTATCATCTAGTAGTGGATTTATTTGCAAATTTGACCTACTGAACACCACTCATAAGATTCCCTATTTCATGTTGTGGGCACACCTTAGGGCCCTGGGCCACGGTTGGTCGATACACAAGACAGCGACACTAGCATAGGAAAGCAACATCCATGCCTATCAATTAGCTGCAGTAAAAGGCTATAAAATAGTTTATAAATCTGTCATTTAGTTATGGATGGATTAAATAGTTACCGATTAGTCCAAAAATTTCAAGTAGCAAGAAGCCAATCTATTATCTCGCTGCCCCAAGGTTCATGTCTAAGTGTAATATAGCTGAAGAACATATTGGAAGGTTAATTACTAGCTTGCTCATCTTTCCCGGCCTATTCATGGCATTGCTCCTCAATAATACATAGATATAGGTGGTGGTCTTTGGTTACAGACTTACAGCACTAGTTTTGTTTACCTCAAGTGACAGGCTGGCATTTGGTAGGCAGGCCCAAAGGGGGCACCAACCTACTAAGGCTGCGTTCGGTCCGGAGGAAAACTCAAAGGAATCTGATCCTGTGCTATTTTCTACCTTTGGTGCGTTCGGAGTGAAGGAAAAATGAGCAGTAAAACTTTGGAATGTCTCGATTCCTGTGTGATTCCTACAGATTTCACGGGAAAAGAAACATCCAGTCAGACCTCTTGTTTATCGCGGTTGGCCGAGGCAACACACTGGTTCTGACGTCTAATCCAATAAAATATTCATTATATGGCATGGAGTGTGAGAGAGTCAAGTCTGCAGCCAAATAAAAAACACCCAAGGTACGGGTCACAACTGAGGTGATGTGCAGCTTCTTTTGATCACCGCCGAACGGTTCACTCCTGACTATTTCTCTGTTTAAAATTCCTCAGTTTCATATGTGCTTGTTTTCCCTATTCCTTTACATTTTTTTGTTCCCATGTTTTCTGATCCTGCAAACCGAACAGAGCCTAATGGTTGTATTTTTCCCATGGTTCATGTCTATGGTGGATATTCTACTCATAATTATTATGTGGGGTCATTTCCCACCAGCTCTTTGACTCTTTGTAGCTGATGAAACATATCCATGATTTCAGTTTGAAAAATTCCTTAATGGTTATTTTTTCTGACTTGTAGCTAATGAATAAATATCCATGATTTCAGCTTGAAAAACCGCTTCATGGTTTTGTTTTTCTCATGCTTCCTGTCAGTTCCTCAGAAATCATATTAATGTCATTTCCTTTGGGAGAAGTCCTGGAACAAAAGCAGAATTAAAGGTACATATCACATATGCATCATCCATCAATGTAATATTTCAGTGGGCTAGACCACTGGAGGCTGGTGGTGTTGCCACAGTGATCTGCGGATGGCGTTGGCCGTTGGATGGGCCATTTTCGTTGTCTTGTGGGGGCTGAAGAGCCACAGCTTTGTTTCCCTTGAGAGTGTCTTCTCTCTCTGATGTTGGTCTATGCATGACGGCCTAGGCATCTACGCGACGGGCAGTGCCTCACAGTGGTAATACTGCGGCGAAGTCAAAATCCTCGGGTCATGATCACGACCTTGTAAAGCACGGTAATTGCGATGCTAATATATATGGGCTTTTTTTGTGATTGTAATATGTTTGATTGAATAGGTTGACATGTTAAATAGAGTGCAAAATCAAAGGAAATTGATTTGGGATCACGGCCTCCGTGGAGCCCGTATTTTTCTTTTTACAAAAACCATATTTGATTTAAAAAAAATCTGAAAAAATACACATGAACCTAGGGATATATATTACATCTCTGTAAACTTTCATGATGAAAGACGTCCTGTTTTTTTTTTATACAGCTCACACCAAAACGTATTTGAGCATGAAACTTTACAAGAATGTACTCCCTTTGTAAACTAATATAAGATTTTCATGTGTATTTGTTTTCAGAATTTTTTAAAATTTAAAATATGATTTTCGAAATTTTAAGGAACAGGGCTCTATGAAGCTCGGGAGCAAGAAATCCACTCGCAAAATCACATGCTTTTACAGTTCTCTTTTATATCAACGGTATCAATGTTAACATGTGAAAAAAGTGATATTGAGGGTCAGAGAGTGAGAGTGTCAACAGAATTCTATTTTCTCATATATCAGTTATGGTAGCCAAACGTGCTTTGCACGTACTCATACCTAGTCGATGTGAAGACAATGGCGTCTTCTGGGGATCTTGCATCCATTGAATCTTCCAAACTCTGGCTATTTCATTCTATATGAAAAATCCGGTAAGCCATGTTCCATATGGATAAGATATGGAGAAATTGAAAAAAAGGAGCTATGGGTAAAAAGGGAAAAGTGCTTATTTGCAGAAAGCAACAGGATCCAGAAACATGATACGTCAAGGTACATACTGACCAAACTACTTTACATGTTGAATCTTTCAGAAACATGCATTTGGGAACAACATGTGCATACAGCTTGGTTTGCCAGCAAGATTCAACCAATACATTATTAAGACCCATTGCACATAAATACAAAGATGTGAACATATCTGGATACTGGATCAGATTACAGTAAAGTGGGCTTAGCCGCCTAGCCAAAATATTTAAATAATACTAACTGGTCATATAGCACTGCTACCCAAAAGAACACACAAAATGCAATCACAAAGATGACCTTATCGATGTATTCTTTTGCAGATGTGATGTAGATGGGGGCTGCTTCAACCGAACCACAATGGTTAATAAGCACAGAGCCGCACAGCTTTGGGTTCCCACCAAAACTAGAATTTTGAAATGTGCTCAGCTGGCCTCTTGTTGGAATAGGTCCTTCTAGGTTATTGTTTGATATGTTGAATTGCGAAAGGAAGTGAAGGTTCTCCAATGCTGCAGGGATTGCACCCGTCAGATGATTATTAGACAGATCTAGCCTCTGCAGGTTTGTGAGATTGCAGATCGATTGTGGGATCTCTCCATAAAAGTTGTTGGAACTCAAGTTCATGTAAAGGAGGGCTTTCAGCTGACCGATCTCTCGTGGGATCATGCCTGTGAAATTATTTTTACCGAGATTCAGCTCTTTGGCCGAAGCACTGCCTATATGATATTGAAGTTGTGTCGGAGCCACACCATAAATAAGTAGACCAAGGTCAATGAGGCTTGGGTCCAAATACATGCCAGTCTTATCTGATTTTAATAGTGGCATCTGCATCAAGGTGACTGGTATTTCTCCAGTGAGACTGTTGTTAGATACGTCCAGACGAAAGAGGTGGTTTAGGGAGTTGATCCAGCTTGGCATTGGTCCAGTGAGTTGATTATTAGATAATAGTAGTATCTTCAGACTTGTGAGCTTTGACAACCAAGCAGGTATCCTTCCAGTCAAGGAACACTGGCACATGGAGAGAAACTGAAGATTCTGAAAACCGTCAATGATTTCATCTTGTGGCATGGCCTCATTCATGAAGTTTCTGCCAATAAGCAGGATGCTGATGTTCCTACAGCTCTCAAGGGCATGCAAAGTTTTTGTGATGTTCGTGAAAGAGTTTCTAACAAGTGACAGGAAGGACAAGTGCTTCAGATTGCCTATTCTCAGTGAGATCTCACCATGGAAATGGTTGCCCGACAACCGCAGAGCAGTCAAATTGCTGCATGAGTAAATGCTTTCTGGAACTATCCCATTGAGATTATTCTTAATGAGATCTAAACTTTTTAGATTCTGTAGGGTGGCGAAGTTTACCTTGCCTAGGTCTCCACTGAAGTCATTGAGCTTCAGATCAATGGTTTTGAGATTTTTGCAGTTGCTCAGAGTTGATGGCAGCTCCCCAGACATGTTATTGTTACCCAAATGGAGCTCCTCCAGCCTTGTGAGCTGACCTATGGACTCTGGAATTTTGCCACTGATGTGGTTCCCTCCAAGGTCAAGAGTACGAATATTACTGCGTCTGACTATGTGTGCTCCATCAAGTTCTCCTTGTAAACCATTGTTGGGGAAGGAGAGGTACTCTAGCGAGGCAGCGTGGAAGATTTCAACAGGGAGAGTCCCACTGAGGTTGTTATGGCCCACCTTGAGCACTTTGAGCTTGGAGCAATCACCTAGTGCAGTGGGAATATTGCCACTCAATTGGTTATAACAGAGGTCAAGCAATACCAAATATGGCGAGCCAAGGCAGAGAGAAGACGGTATGTTCCCGGTGAAGCTGTTATTGCTGGCGTTGAGTGCAATCAGATTTTTCATCACCTTCCATGTGGCTGATGGAAATTTTGAGCTGAACTGGTTGCTTGAGATGTTGAGTACCTGCAGAGGCCGGTTGGTGGTAACCAAGTACGGCAGGTCGGGCAGCGGTCCGTTGAGCTGGTTGAAGCTGACGTCAAGGATGATGATGCTTCCGGAGGACATGAGCTCTGGCAAAAGGCCACCAGAGAAGGGGTTGTACGAGAGATTGACATGTAGCAGGCTGGTGAGGTTGGCCAGGGATGGCGAGATGCACCCTTCAAGTCCTTTAGATCCCAGGGATACCTCAGTAACGGCCTCATCTTCATTGCAGACGACGCCTTCCCACTTGCAGCAGTTCGTGCTGTTGTCGCGCCATGACGTGGCGAGGCCACCATCTCGCGATAGCCCGGCTAGGAACCGGAGCAGATTATGCTTCTCCTGCTCGGTGCATGCGGTGGCGGGAGAGGCCAAGATGTGCAGCACCACGAACAGCACAACTGGAGGAACGGTGAAGGAAGGCATTGGCCGGTGTTTGTTCTCCTCCTTGTTTTTCTGTTGCTTGAAGAATGCACACGGTGCTGGTACTAGCTATCATTTAACAGGGGCTTTTATTTGCACATCAGAGCTACTGAACACCATTCATAAGATTCCTTATTTCATGTCATGGGTGCAGCTTAGCGTCCTGGGCCACGGTCGGTTGGTGCACAAATGCAATCAATCAGGTATCTCCTCGCCCCTAAGTTTGAAGTTATGTTTACGTGGTTGAAGAATATATTTGAGAGTGATGTTAATTACACCAGGGGTGATACGGGCGGAACCCTAAAACTGCCGCTAGGGTCTCCCCTTCGCCGCTGCGGGAGGATGCAGCCGAGCTAAGCCCATGGCGCGGATGGCGGAGGCGGCGTTCCTTTCCTTGTGGCGCAATGGGCGATCCCTGCTCCGAGATGATGGCTTGGCTTGCTCAGGGGCGGCGGCGTTGCCGGCTGTGCTCCAAGACCAGGGAGTGTGGAGCGACACAAGGCGTGTCGGCTCCAGATCTGGTGGCTGGGTGTGTCCAGGACTCTGTCCCTGGCCGGCGTAGATGTTTAGTTCTCCAGACTAAAGTCTTGCTGGATGCCGGTGCTGACAACACCTTCCAAGGAGTTCTGACACCTCTCCCTTCCTCGATGTCTTGTCTCCCAGTGAAAACCAAGATCCGCCTTGCCAGCTCGACGATGGCGATGCCTTTGGCATTGTTACTTTGGTGAATCGTCATTTTGGAGACTTGACCTCTTGGAGGGAGCACGTTTGTGGTGTCGTGGCTGGAGCCATCGGTAGTGCGGCGTCTGTGATGTTGTGTTCGTCTGGGACCGGCGGTGGTCGGCAATTGGAGCACTCCTGACTTGCGGATGCCGTCGGGCGAGTACGATTGGTCGTCCTCTTGGGATTGGAGCGGCACTTGTCCGGTTCTCTTTAGACATGCCTTCTCTCACCAGCGTCAACGAGGTTGTCGAACATGCTTGTGGCAGGCACGACCGATGCGACAGATTGGAATGCTCTTTGAGGATGTTGTGGCTAAGTCAAAATCGTCGGGTCATGAGCGCGACTAATGATGTATGATGATGTCGCGTTCGTCGGCAATGTGCTTTCTGTCTGTGTTGTGTTCTCAGGCCTTTTTTCATTCTCGTATATGTTGTGGTACTTTAGACCTAGTTTAGCTAGGTGTGGTGTGCCTTTGCGCAGGTTTTCACCCGATTTTCCTCAAATAAACCGAGCACTTTCAGCCACCGGCTTCTTCTGCAATGGAGTCTTAGCAGTTCTCCTGCTAACTTTTCATAAAAAATGTTACTAGTTTTGCTCATCATGACCAACCTATTTATTGCGTTGCTGCCCAATAGTACATATAGCTATATAGCTGGTGGCCTTCGATTACACTAATAGTGCTGTTTATGGCATAAGCTAGTAGTGGTAGGCTGGCATTGATAGCCTGGCTAGTTTTGGGCCCGCTGAGTCTTAGAGGGAATTTGCTCACCCTACTGTTGGTATACATGGGTATGATATGTATGGACCGTACCCAAATATACTAGTGCTCCTGGGATGGATTTCTTCTGATAAATAGTGCAGAATGGTACCATTTACACCACCTGATTTGCTTCCCATACTTTAATGCAGTGGCGAGTTAGATTCTGGAAATCAGAGTCAAATGGTCAATCAGAGAGGTGCATCATGTTTAGTCTTAAAATTTCGAATTATTTCATGGTTGTTTCTTGCATGATGGGAACTTTTTCAGTTTGGTGTCTTCTTTGCAAATCATGCTTCAGCCTGATAGTGTTCTGGTTTTCCTTCGTGCTCGCAGCTCACTGTTGGTACTACTCTCCTCTCAATCTATGCTTCAGCCTGGTAGTGTTCCGGTTTTCCTTCGTGCTCACAACTCACTGTTAGTATGTATAGTTCTTGTTACCATACTTAAATTTCTCTATTTTGCTATCACTTTAGGTACCGCTTTCATTTCTCAATTTGGTGAGATGTAAAGTAGCGGTTTTAATTGATCTTCAACACTGAAATTATTAACCCCGTTTACGATTATAAATGCTTTACTTTTGATATCTTCATGTGAAATCATTTTTTTCATTGCCAGATTCTGTTTACTTGTTTTTCTTGTCATAAATAAGGGAAGTCTTTTTCTATTCGCTACCTCTATATATTAGCTCATAAATTTCTCTTTTATATCAGAGTGAAGAAAAAGAAGCAATTTTCTCCACCATCGATTATCTAAGTCCATTACAAAACTGAGGGTATGTCTAGCCAAAGAGTCTCGATAAGCATAATTGATCTAAGAGTACACCTAATCCAAAGAACACGCCAAATGCAATGGCAAACATGACATTGTAGCCTTTTCCATGGAGCCTTTAGGCACTTCTACTGAATGGCACTTGTGAATATGCATAGAGGCACATAGCTTCGGGTTTCCATCGAAGCTCGTGCTCGGAAAGGTATCAAACTGGCCTCCATGTGGAACAGACCCTTCCAGGTCACTATTGGAAATGTGGAATCTAGAAAGGAAGTGTAGATTATTCAGTGCACCTAGAATTGTACCAGTGAGATGATTGTTTGACAGATCTAGCACCTCCAGGTTTGTGAGATTAGAGATCGTTCGTGGGATCTCTCCAGACAATCTGTTGAAGCCCAAGATGAGCGACACAAGTGTCTTTAACTGTCCAATCTCTGGGGGTATCACACCTGTTAAGTTGTTGCCTAACTTAGAGTGTAATATCGAGGTAAGGACCGCTGTAAGTAGGCAGCTCAGAGCCCTTTGGGTCTAAACTTGTCGTGATTGTATCTGATCTTAGCACTGGCATCTCCATGAAGCCTGCTGGGATCTCCCCCTGAGGCCGTTGTTTGATAGGTCTATGTAGAATAGGAAGTTTAAGGTGCTGATTCCAGCTGGAATACTCATTATTAAACAAGAATAACATCTCCAGATCTCTGAGATTTGATATCCATAGAGGGATCTTCCCAAACAACCGGCAATCTTCCATGCCGAGAACCTTAAGATTCTCAAAACCATCAATTGCTTTATCCCCTGGTATTTCCTCATTTCTGAAGTTGCTCCCAATAAGCAAGGTGGTGAGATTACTAGAACCAACGAGGATCTGAAGTGCACTCTTAATATTTGTGAAATCAGGTGATAGGATGGTTAGTGACTTCAGGTGACGCGCTCTGGACAAGAGCTGGCCATGTAACTTGTTGAAAGATAGCTGTAACACAGTCAGTTTGTTGCACAAGTAGATACTCTCTGGGATTTTGCCAGTGAAGTTGTCATTTGGAGACTCAAAGTCCTGCAATACTGAGTTGTCACATAGGAAGTGGATACTTCCTGAACTCAATCATGCTGCAATCTGGATATGGCCTGCATTACAAACAAATGTCCCACTCTGGATAAAGAATCTGCTGCGCCATTCTCCACTCCCTTCTTGTATACAACAACAACAACAACAACAAAGCCTTTAGTCCCAAACAAGTTGGGGTAGGCTAGAGGTGAAACCCATAAGATATCGCAACCAACTCATGGCTCTGGCACATGGATAGCAAGCTTCCACGCACCCCTGTCCATAGCTAGCTCTTTGGTGATACTCCAATCCTTCAGGTCTCTCTTAACGGACTCCTCCCATGTCAAATTCGGTCTACCCCGCCCTCTCTTGACATTCTCCGCACGCTTTAGCCATCCACTATGCACCGGAGCTTCTGGAGGCCTGCGCTGAATATGCCCAAACCATCTCAGACGATGTTGGACAAGCTTCTCTTCAATTGGTGCTACCCCAACTCTATCTCCACTCCCTTCTTGTAAATGATCTGAAATTGCAAACCCACCAGTTTGGACATTGCTTTGCGTTGCAGATCAGTTTTCGGTGTTTGGTCTTCCAAATTACAGAGACTTCTATGGTCTGTCAGGATTTGAAAAGGGCCACATTGCAAATATTGGAGCCACTTATCCACAGCCATGATCACTGCCAGAAATTCCTTTTCGTAGATCGAAAGCTTGCTGTTAAGGATTCCCAAAGCCTTACTCATATATGCAATGGGATGGCTATTCTGCATCAACACTGCACCCACCCCTGTGTCGCAAGCGTCTGCTTCGACAGTAATTACGGGCACAGTGAGATCAGGTAAAGCTAAGACAGCGGTTTGCAGCATAGCTTGTTTCAAAGCAAGAAACGCTTGTGTTGCTTGTTCATTCCAGTAAAATCCCTTCTTAGTAAGGAGTTGTGACAGGGGCTTCGAGATCAGTCCATAATGTTTCACAAATTTGTGATTATAACATGCAGCAGGGGCTGGTGTCTCTTCTGACAGCTCCAAAGCAACAACTGCGTCATCTGACAGTACTTCGCCAAATTCTCCCCCCTCGATGGTAAGCAACTGGCCTGATCTCTTACACTGATGTTCCTTTGAGTATTTATCACCACATTTGAAACAGAGACCATTGGCATGTCAGATATCTCTTAATTGACATTCTTTGTTAAAATCGTCATCGCCTTGACGACGAGGCCATTCAGTGTGTGCCACTGCCGGCGCGATTGTCGCTCCTGCAACGCTTGGTGGATGTTTTGTAGTTGCTGGTGGTCGACTGCGAGGACGCTGATGTTCTGCCTCTTCTTCCTGAATTTTTGCCAAAGCCGCAGCTCGAGTAACACTAGTTGGAGCTTGCAGTCTAAGAGGACTTCGGATTTCATCCCTCAAGCCAAACACAAACTGAGTAACAAACCAATGAGTGCTCATCGCAGGATCTACAGAGAGAGCAAATGGTACATACACTCCTCAAACCGAGCCCTGTAGTCTGTGACTTAACGCAGTTTGTTTTAACTGAAGACTTTGGTCATCTGACCACATATTCAGTCCTGACCAAATACAGTCACCAGTGCTCCCATGAACTCGTCCCAATTGGCACGCCCATGCAGACGCTTGTATGCTTGGAACCAAAGCGCTGCCAACCCATCCAAGGATGTATAGTGTCGTCGTGCTTACGCAGTGATGTTCCGGCACGCACGATACATCTAACATCTTGAAACATGTCAGGCATTGATCTATCCACAGGAGAGGGGTCACACCATGAAATTGAGGGAAATCATGTTGTGGCTGCCGCAGATGATACTCCTCATGCTCGATTGTGGTGTGGCAGGTGGGGCTTTCCTCCAGCTCATGAGGCGAGGAAGGAGCGGTGTGGTAGCCTGCCGGTTGCTGCTGCGAGATATGTAGCAGCGGCGGCATGGTTCCTCCCTTGTCGGCTTGTGGAGGGGCGGTAGGCTGTGTGATAGTGAACGGCGAGGCAGTCAACTTGCCATTGTCGTGGACGAGGTGCTTGATGCTGTCCATCTCGTCGCCAAATTCCTCCACCTTGCGCAGGCTGTGCACCTCATCGGAGACGGCCTTGATGCTGGTGCCCACGGTTGCGAACCGCTTCAGGATCTCGTTCAGGGTTGCCTAAATCCATTATTCACAGCCTGAACCTTCTCCATCATTCACAGTGGCAATACTGTGGCGAAGTCAAAGTCGTCGGGTCATGATCGCGACCTTGTAAAACACGACAATTAAGGCCTGATTCTATGATGCTATATAGGGTCTTAAATTTTTGCTGTGATTGTGCTACAACTTGGTTTGCTCAACAATATTAAACTTCTTAAGTTTCAACTAATACATTATTAAGACACATTGCACATAGATAAAGAGATGTGAACAACATAACTGGATACTGGACCATTGGATACTGGATCAGATTACACTGAAGTGGGCTTAGCCGCTTAGCCAAAATATCTAAATAATACTAACTGATCATATAGCACTCCTACCCCAAAGAACACACCAAAGGCTGTCACAAAAATGACCTTACTGCTGCATTTTTTTGCAGAAACGATGGAGATGGGAGCTGCTTCAACCGAACTACAATGGTTAATAAGCATAGGGCCGCACAGCTTTGGGTTCCCATTAAAACTAGAAGCTTGAAATGTGCTCAGCTGGCCTGTTGTTGGAATAGGTCCTTCTAGGTCATTGTTAGAAATGTTGAACTCTGAAAGGAAGTGAAGGATCTCCAATGCTGCAGGAATTTCACCAGTCAGATGGTTATTAGACAAATCTAACCTCTGAAGGTTAGTGAGGTTGCCGATTGATTGTGGGATCTCTCCATAGAAGTTGTTGGAACTCAAGTTCAGGTAAAGGAGTGCTTTCAGCTGACCAATCTCTTGTGGGATCACACCTGTGAATTTATTGTTACCGAGATTCAGCACTTTGCACCAATCACTGTTTATGCGGTATTGAAGTTTTGATGCATCCACAGCATAAATAAGTAGATCAAGGTCAACGAGACTTGGGTCCAAATAGATGGCAGGCTTATCTAGTTTTAGCATTGCCATCTCCATCAAGGTGACTGGGATTTTCCCAGAAAGACTGTTGTTTGATACGTCCAGATGGAAGAGGTTGTTTAGGGAGTTGATCCAGCTTGGCATTGGTCCAGTAAGTTGATTTTTAGATAATACCAGTACCTTCAGCCTTGTGAGCTTTGATAACCAAGTAGGTATTCTTCCAGTCAATGAACACTGGTGCATGGCGAGAAACTGAAGATTCTGAAAACCGTCAATGCTTTCATCTTGTGGCATGGCCTCATTCATAAAGTTTCTGCCAATAAGCAGAGTGCTGATGTTCCTGCAGCTCTTAAGAGCATGCAAAGCTTTTGTGATATTCGTAAAGGAGTTTCTACTAATTGATAGGAAGGACAGGTGCTTCAGATTGCCAATTCTTGATGAGATTTCACCATGGAAATGGTTGGCTGACAACCGCAGTGCAGTCAAATTGCTGCATGAGTAAATGCTTTCTGGAACTATGCCACCAAGATTATTCTCCATGAGATCTAAACTTTTTAGATTCTGTAGGGTGGCGAAGTTTACCTTCCCTAGATCTCCAGTGAGGTTGTTGATCTTCAGATCAATGGTTTTGAGATTTGTGCAGTTGCTCATAGTTGATGGCAGCTCCCCAGACATGTTATTGCTGCCCAAATGGAGCTCCTCCAGCCTCCTGAGCTGACCTATGGACTCTGGGATGGCTCCACTGAAACTGTTCCCTCCAAGGTCAAGAATAAGCAGACTACTGAGTTTGACTATGTGTGCTCCATCAAGTTCTCCTTGTAAACCACCATTGTTGGGGAAGGAGAGGTACTCTAGCGAGGTAGCGTGGAAGATTTCAACAGGCAGAATCCCACTTAGGTGATTGTTGCCAGCCTTGAGCACTTTGAGCTTGGAGCAATTACCCAGTGTGTTTGGGATGTCGCCACTCAATTGGTTGTAGGAGAGGTCAAGCAAAGCCAAAGATGGCGAGCTAACGCAAAGAGAAGAAGGTATGTGCCCACTGAAGCTGTTATTGCTGGTGTTGAGCGCGATAAGATTCTTCATCACCTTCCATGTGGCTGATGGAAATTCTGAGCCGAACTGGTTGCTTGAGATGTTGAGTACCTGCAGAGGCCGGTCAGTGGTAACCAAGGACGGAAGCTCGGGCAGTGGTCCGTTGAGCCGGCTGAAGCTGACATCGAGGACGATGATGCTTCTGGAGAACATGAGCTCCGCCGGAAGACCACCGGAGAGCGAGTTGTGCGAGAGGTTGATGTGCAGCAGGCTGGTGAGGTTGGTGAGGAACGGAGAGATGGGCCCTTCAAGTCCTTTAGACTCCAGGGAGACCCCAGTGACGGCCCCATCTCCATTGCAGGAGATGCCTTCCCACTCGCAGCAGTCCGCGCCATTATTACACCAAGACGTGGCGAGGCCACCATCACTCGACAGCCCGGCAAGGAACTGGAGGAGGTTGCGCTTCTCCTGCTCGGTGCATGCAGTGGCGGGAGAGGCTAAGAAGAGCAGCAGGAACAGCTGCAGCACGGCCGGAGGAACTGTGAATGAACACATTGATTAGTGTTTCTTTCCCCTTCTTGTTTTGCTGTTGTAGAATGCATGTAGTGGTGGTACTAGCTATCATCTAGCAGTGGATTTATTTGGACATCAGAGCTACTGAACACCATTCATAAGATTCCATATTTCTTGTCATGGGTGCACCTCAGTGCAGGGGCCACGATCGGTCAGTGCACAAAGAGACAGTGACACTAGAATAGGAAAGCAACATCCGTGCCTACCCATTATAGCTATATTAAAACCCAATAAACTAGTTTATTAAGCTATCACTTAGTTATGCATGGATGGATTAAATAGTTACCAATTAGTCCAAAATTTTCAAGTAGCAAAGAATCAATCTATTATCTCACTGCCCCAAGTTTCATGTTTAAGCGTAAATGCCTGAAGAGAGTAAGGTTAACTACTAGTTTAGTCATCTTGCTTGACCTATTCATTTTATTGTCTTCCTCTACAGACTTAGTGACAGCTGGCATTGGTACCCAGGGCCGAGGGGGTACCAACCTAAATTTTGAAACGTGTTTCATGTCTATGGGAGATATTCTGCTCCACACTTATTCTGTGAGGTCATTTTCCGCCAGCTGTATACCATGATTAATACCCATCATTTTCCGTTTGAAAACTGCTTTATGGTTGTGTGTTTTTTTCTCATGCTTCTTGTTATTGGATTATTCCTCTGTTCTTTTGTGGCAAAGAAGCTTTGTGCTTCAACTCCCTATATTCGGTTCTCCTCTTGTTATTTTCCTTTTCTTTTTTGGACAAAAAACAACATGTGATTGTCTGCATATGCGATAGACATTCCTGCTTTCACTACTCGGCAGCTCGAGTTCACCTGTTAAACAACTGTTCTTGATTAAGTCTTTTTTCAGGACATTGTAATGAAAATTCATTTTTTTAATTTGCTTCATGCACTGCCAACCTCTCTTGCTAGCTAAAGGCAGCTAATTTGGCCTCAGATGCAGTTTGCAGCAATATTGTTGTCATGTTTTTCCGTTATTATTTTTGAACGTAGACAACTTTTATTGCCAAAGCTGCTCCTCTTCATAGTTTTGATTGATCTGTGCCCATATTTGCCCTACCAGCCAAAATTTCGGCAAGGGACGGCGAGACACACCCTTCAAGTCCTCTAAATGCAAGGGAGACTTCAGTGACAGCCCTGTCTTCAGGCAATGCCTTCCCACTTGCAGCAGGCCGTGCTGTTGCCACGCCACGACATGGCGAGGCCACCATATCGCGACAGCCCAGAAAGGAAACGGAGGAGGTTGCGCTTCTCCTGCTCGGTGCATGCGGTGGCAGGAGAGGCCAAGAACAGTAGCAGGATCAGCTGCAGCACGACCGGAGGAATGGTGAATGAATGCATTGGTTGGTGCCCCCTCTCCCCCCTTTTGTTTTGATGTTGCTTGAAGAATCCATGCAGTGCTGGTGGTAGTTATTGTTAGAGTTATAATATAAGTCATGTACCCCTTTGTATTTATCCCGTTGTATGAGGGGTTTCCTGCATATGTTTCACACCTGTACATGTATATATATATCGGCCTATGGCCTCATGGGAATACAAGTTGCTTATTCCTAACATGGTATTAGAGCTAGGTCAATTTTTTGCACGCCGCAACTCGTGCTGATTGATCCGCCTCACGACGCCACCGTCCTCTGTGGCCGTCGCTCTGTTCTCTATCGCCGCTGGCTCTCCCCGCCAGGCTGGGCCCAACCGTCGCCGCCGTGTGGATCGCCAGGCTGGGCCGCTGCCTTCGCTCCCGCCCGTGCGATTCCTCCCTCACGATCGAGTCAACGACGTGCGCTGGTTCGCTCCCGATCGAGAGTTCCCTCTCCTCCCGATCGCGTCCACACCGTGCTCCCTGATCCGGATCAAGCCGCCAGCCGTTCCCCTCGCTGGATTCTACCGCCGTGATCTTCCTGGTTCTGATCCAGTCGCCAGCGTTCTCTCCAGCGGACGGCCGCCCGCCCGATCCGGTCGCCCGATCCACCAGTCGCCAGCGCCCTCCTGCCCAAGCTACTCCCGATCCCGATCTCGCGCCTGATTCTGCTGGTCGCCCGTTCCACCAGTCGCTGGTGCTCTAGTCGGTTCTAAAAAAAATGTCTGCTGCATCGGGCTATGTTGCTGTCCCTCGCTGTCCGGTGATCTTTGATGGTACTAACTACACCGAGTTTACTGGCTTCATGCGCATTCACATGCGTGGCATCCGTCTTTGGGGTGTTCTTTCTGGCGAGGTCTGCTGTCCGCCACGTCCAGTTCCTCCGGTGGCCCCTACTCCGCCAACTCCATCGGTTCTTCCTATGGATGCTAATCAGGTCGCCAAGGATGCGGCTAAGCTTGCTGATGAGGCTGCTGATCGTGCTTATGATGAGAGGGTTTTGTCTTATGAGGAGGCTCTTCAGACGTATCATGGTGCTCTGTCTGTTTACACCCAGTGGCTTGATGATGATGCTCGTGTTGCAGCTGTTCTCACTGCTAGTGTTCTGCCTCAGTTTGTTTCTGAATTCCTGGGTCTTCCTACTGTCTTTGAGATGTGGACCTGTCTTCGTGAGCGCTATCAGCCCTCTGGTGATGCCTTATACCTCTCTGTGATCCGTCAGGAGCATGCTCTTCAGCAGGGTGACTCTACTGTTGATGACTTCTATGCATAGAGTTCTGCTATCTGGCGCCAGCTTGATTCTCTCCGTAGTGCTGGGTGTCGTACCTGCCCCTGTTGCCAGGCTGTCCAGGCCAATTTGGAGTTTCATCGCGTCTATGAGTTCCTGTCTCGGCTCCGTAAGGAGTTTGAGCCCCGGCGTGCTCAGTTGTTTGCTCGTGGCCGTATTTCTCTCATGGAGGCGCTTTTTGAGATTCGTGCTGAGGAGACTCGCTTACGTGGTGCTGGTTTGCTGGAGGTTCCCTCTGTGCTTGCTACTCGTGCTTCTACGCCACCTGCTCCATCGACTACTTCTCGCTCGAGTGCTCCGCCGCTCTTGCCCACTCCTTTTGGAGGCTCAGGTCGCCCCCGTCCACATTGCGCCTATTGCAACAATGATGGTCATCTTGAGTCTCAGTGCTACACGAAGAAGAAACACCTGCGCAAGGCTCGATCATCATCTTCAGGGACTTCGTCATCTACCTCGACAGCTTCAGCCATTGCTTTAACTGAGCAGGATATTCTGAGACTTAAGCGTCTGCTCGCGGCTCCAGGTTCTTCCTCGACGGGTACTGCCGGTTCTATGACTGATGCTTCCCGCACTGAGCAATCACCCTCTACACAGTCAGGTACATCCCCATGGGTTCTGGACTCTGGAGCTTCTTTTCATATGTCTTCTCATTCTTCCACTTTGTCCTCTCTTCGATCACTGGATTCTCCTATTCATGTCTTCACTGCTGATGGTACTCCATTTTCTGTTGCTAGTAGAGGCAATCTTACTACTCCTTCTTATTCTGTTCCTGATGTTGCTCATGTTCCTCGACTTACCATGAATTTGTTTTCTGCTGGTCAACTTACGGATTCTAGTTGTCGCGTCATCCTCGACGTTGACTCTTGTTCTGTCCAGGACCGTCACACGCACACTCTGGTTGGGGCTGGCCCTTGCCGCCGTGATTCTCAGGGTCTTTGGGAGTTGGACTGGCTTCATGTTCCTTCTGCTGCCACCACCATCGCCAGTTCTTCCGCTTCTGTTGCCTCCGTCACTGGTTCCTTCCAGCAGTGGCATCATCGACTTGGTCATCTGTGTGGTTCTCGGTTGTCTTCTTTAGTTCGTCGAGGCCTTCTGGGGTCTGTCTCAGGAGATGTCTCTTTAGAGTGTCAGGGTTGTTGTCTTGGCAAGAAGATTCAGTTACCATATTCACATAGTGAGTCAGTGTCTAAGCGTCCTTTCGATTTAGTCCATTCTGATGTATGGGGTCCGGCCCCTTTCGCTTCGAAAGGTGGTCATAAATACTATATTATTTTCATAGATGATTTCTCTCGTTACACATGGCTTTATTTCATGACTTCTCGTTCTGAGGTGTTGTCTATTTATAAGCGTTTTGCTGCCATGGTTCATACTCAGTTCTCTTCACCCATTCGTGTTTTTCGTGCTGACTCCGCTGGCGAGTATATCTCTAAGATGTTGCGTGGTGTTCTTGCTGAGCACGGGACTCTCTCTCAATTCTCTTGTCCTGGTGCTCATGCTCAGAATGGTGTGGCTGAGCGAAAGCATCGACATCTTCTTGAGATGGCTCGTGCATTGATGATTGCTGCCTCTCTCCCGCCTCATTTTTGGGCTGAGGCCGTCTCCACATCCACCTATCTTATCAATATACAGCCTTCCGCTGCTCTACAGGGTGGTGTTCCTTTCGAGCGACTTTTTGATCGTTCTCTCGATTATTCGATGCTTCGCTCGTTTGGTTGTGTTTGCTATGTTCTTCTTGCCCCTCGCGAACGCACCAAACTGATCGCTCAGTCTGTTGAGTGTGTCTTCTTAGGCTACAGTGATGAGCATAAGGGCTATCGTTGTTGGGATCCTATTGGTCGTCGGATGCGTATCTCTCGAGATGTGACTTTTGAAGAGTCTCGTCCCTTCTACCCACGCCCATCTTCCTTGACTTTTTCAGTGCAGGATATCTCTTTCCTCACTTTTCCTGACTCACCTATCACCCCCGCCGACACTGTACCTCTTCGTTCCACTTCCTCTCCTTCTCCACATCTAGTTGATTTGCAGCCACCATCCTCCCCGGTCTCCTTGCCTAGCATGTCACCGGGTTCTCCACCTTCATCTTCGGTGACTTCCTCCCCGGTCTCCTCTCCCAGTCTGTCACCGGATTCTACACCTTCATCTCCGGTGACTTCTTCGTCGCCACCCCCTGATTCTACCTTGCCGATTCCTCCTTCTATTATTCCATCTCTTCCTCAGCATTACACTCGTCGTCCACGACCAGTCGATGCCTCTGTGGATGGGTCGTCATCTTCCTCTCAGCCTACTTATGGCTTGCGTTCTCGTCCTCGTCCGCCTGTTGATCGCTTTGGATTTCCCAC